TGATATTATTAGTTATATGTCTTATATAATGTCTATTAGTATATATAACATAATTGATATTATTAATTATACTAATAATTATATATGTGTACTAATACAAATTATTAATTGGTTATACTAAATCCCTAATTACACTTAATACAATAATATTTTTTTTTTAAAAAAGCACAAGCACAATAATGAATTAGTGATTGTATTTGTGCCAAAAGTGAAAATTTGACTACTTTAGTTATATTTATTTCATCATGTTGGATTGTATTCAAATATTTTTTGTTTGATTGTTTTTATAAGTTTCAATTGTAAAATTATAATGAATAATAATTTGATGATGTGTTAATATTTTAGTACTTGATTATTTGCTAAAACTTAACCATAATAAAATTATATAACAAATTTTTATTAGCCCTGCGGGTGGAAGCGGGGCGGGGCGGGGGGGAGTGGGGGGCGAGGGATGGGGCGGGGGTGGGGGGAGTTTATAGGTAGTGGGGCGGGGGATGGGGGAGGGGTCTCCCGCCCCAACCCCGCCCCGTTGCCATCCCTAATTACAACATGCCGTGAATAGTGATCAGAGCCAAGCCCACCTAATCTTTTGGACTTGAATTAAAAGTTTAACCAGTTGATGTTGCCAGTCTGAGAATATTAAATGCTTTGGTTACAACTAGCACAACTTTAGTGATGTGTTACATTACTAATTTGTCAATTTGATTTATCACTAAGAACCCTAGGGATTAAGACGCTACTAAATTGATTTGACAAAAAAAAAAAAAGAAAAGGAAACTGACGGTCTAATTGGATCCATATCCTCATAGACTAATCCAAATGCACGTCACGGATGAATTTGTATATGCAAGTAATTTTTAAACAAAAATTTGCAATAGCATCGTGATATGGTATATACACATAAAAAAAATCAAGATATGATATATACACATAAAAAAAAATCAAGTGATACATTATTTGTCTCCTGTCATATCAAATTGATTTGAATGGATATCTGTAAACTCAAATTAATTAAGCCATGAATCATGTGTAGAGTGGGTGTCAAAACTACCCCTCCAAGCCATGGAAATTAACATAACATGGTACGGACTATTTTCTTTCCATTTATTTGGTAGGGACCTCAATTAGCCTGCAGATTTACGTAAATCCATTGAAAACCAACCAAAGATTGCATCCTTTTATTTTTTTTAAAAAAATCTTTTTGTAATTAATGATTTTTTTGTAACAAAAAATTTAGATGAGTTTGGCTTCGATACAACCATGGATCACGGCATGCTGTGAGTAGTGAATAGAGCCAAGCACACCTAATCTTTTCGACGTAATGTTATCAAACTATCAACATCGATTTATGCGAACCGACAAAATCTCATACTGTGACCCAAGTAGGACTTGGAGGACATATCTCTAGGTTTAGATAGGGACAAGTATATTAGCAGAATGATAGGAAAATACACTGGTTTTGAAAATTGATACTCGCGCTTGTTATTTAACCTCTTGCACTCCAATTTACTCACTAAAAATATATTTAACCTCTTGAGCTCAACTTGATGATACATTTATTTTTAATAAAAAAACAGCATCATTTTATTAAATCTGCGTTAGTGACAGAAATTATATCAATTATACAGATCTAGAAAATCAATAACGTATAACATTGAAATTCTAAAAAAATTAAAAGATAAAATATTTTTAATCTTAAGATCATTCGTGTATGCTTCCAACTATACCGCATGCTTCCTTCTAAATCTGATAATGAATTGATTTAAATTCATATATTAAAGTGAGATTTGACATGGTAGATCTAAGAAATCTTAGATCTGACAACCAAATTTCAAAAAATTTATATCTAATATAAGAGGTAGACTAACCACAAAATCTCTCACTAAAAATTTTTAGAAGAGAAGAAACTCTAATCTTTAAGAGAGAAGAAACTGCCCCTAAATAACCTCTCCATAGGAGGGAATTTGATGTTACATGTTTGATTTCAAGACATTGAAGTCAATATTGATTTCAAGATATTGATCTTTCACCCACCGGTCCCTCGGATCCACATAAAACTAGATTTTTTCAAATAACACGAACTCCTATTAATTTTGTCCTGCTATAAATTTTTTTTTTTTGTTTTTGGTAAAGAAAAGTTCAGAAAGATGGTATGGTTACCTGGTTCCAAAATCACAGAAAACATTAAAGTCTTAAGAATGCTAAAACTTGGCGACCAATTAATTTTTGCCCAGGACACTCAGTTAGCTTGCAGATTTATGAAAAAATGCATTGAAAACCAACCAAAGTTGCATCTTTTTAATTGAAAAGAATATCTTCTGGGCTTAATGGTATCAATATTTGATTTCTTCTGGCCAAGAAAATCTCAGACGGTGACCCAACTAGGACCACCCCCAAAAAAAAAAAATCTTGACAACCTTTATTGCTTGACAAATCTCCAAACAGGGACACGTCTATTAGCAGCAAAAGTGGGATATACTCCAATATTTAACATAACACAAATTTTAAATGCCTATTCTATATTTATGTTCCATTTTCTGATGTAGCGCAATTGTATTGTAAAGCCAGTCAATACTTTATCGAAGCTTTTTTTAGTACCAAACTTTATCCTAACTCTTAGGGGACTTGTTTCTTTGCATCCATGAGTCAAGAATCAAAGGGGCCTCTATGAATTTATTAAATACATTAAATAATGTCCAGTGCACCTACTTTCATTAATTCCCGTATTTCAAGTAAGATATTGCTGTGATAAAGATTACGAATTACGATGTCCCAATTTAATACAGTCCACTACTCTGGCTATATCTTGTTTTTTCACAATAAAAATCACTTCTGAGAATATAATCCCCCAGACATGAATGACACATAGCTTGTTTGGCCCCCCGACTGAGTTGGACTTTTTTTTTTGGGTTAAAAGATTTGGGTATCTAATTCTACGGTTTGACTGACGAGTGTCTATTGGGCACTCGTTAAAAGAGGTACTAGATATTAGTTTTCTTTTAAAAAAAAAAGTATAACTAATTCTAAAAAAATGTTACAATTTAGGAGGTGTAATAAATGTTAATCTATATTTTCACATGATAATTTCAGTGTAATTTAGATGTTTTAATGAGTACCCAATTGAAACTCGTAAAAAAAATAAATACTTATTCCCAAATTATTTTCGTTCCATTAAAAAAAGAAAGCTGATAGACATAAAACAGGGTGATGTGAGGTGCAGTTGGTGGGTATTTGGTTATAATATATACACATAAAATGGTTAAGTGCTGGTGCGGTTGAACCAAAACAATCATCCAATTTACAATGATTGGACCGGATGAGCTCAATTTGATGTTCAATAGTTGATTTCAAAATTTTGAAGTCAAATGTCCCATATTGAGCGGAGCTAATTCGGATCGTGAATGGCACCACGCCGTCGGTCTTATGCCACTCACCAGTGGCCCGCATCCACATTAGACGATTTTTTAATTAGATTTTTTTTTTGGCAGCGAAAAGTTCGGGAAGAGGCGAAGGTTACCTAATTCTAAAACCAGAGAAAACATCGATGTCTTAAATAGGTAAGAGCCCATTTGGACAATTATTTTGAAAAGTTTTTGTAAAAAAAAAAATGCTACAACAATTTGATATATATGAAATTAAAATATGATTTATAATGTGTTCATGCAAGTTAACCAGATGGTCAGTAGCACAATTCAGTAGCCCAGAGGAAAGCAAAGACATAAAAAGAAGCTTGCTGAACTAGCTGGCTATCAAAACCAATTCTTGTGACTTGGGAGCATCTAATCTATCCTAGTCTGTTCTTGATGACCAATATTATGGTACCCAATTTTATGCTCATTCAGGAAAATAAACATGGAAAGAAATAACAAGCTCTACATTTTCAGTTTGTAATACCTGTGTGTGTCGAGAGATTAAATTATACAAATATTATCGTTACCGAAAAAAAAAAAAAAGACCTGTGTTTGTGTGTCGAGAGATAAGACAGTCAGTCCCGGTGGCTTATGCCATTGCTTCTCTTTTGCAAACGCTGTAGCATCTGCTGTGTTTCCCATGTATCACTCTCCAAATTAAGCAATTGTCGGCTCGAGATTTCTGTAGAAATCTTCGTTGCTTTCTGAAGCACCTGATTATATGAATATGCACTTTGGAAGCATTATACAAGGGATTTCGAAGGTGAATATGCACCTGATCATTTGTATGTTCCTTCTATAATTTTGTTTTGGATTCAGTCACTAACTAGAATTGGTAAAATAAGAGCTCCAGCATTTGACGGTCAGTCAAAGTATCCCACAAAATTCAAGCGCTTAGAAACAAAAGTTGCACAGTGCATCCTTACGAAGATCAATTTCTCTTGCATGAATTGTGTACTAGCTAAAGATAAAAAAAGAGGGAACAAAAAACAGAGAAAAAAGGTCATACTTTCACAGTTTCGCATACTTTTAAGCTCATGATACTCTATTTGGATAACAATTCAATTCAAGAAAAACTTTTGGATTTTTATATTCCTACATGGACAAGAATGCCCTCAATTCCGCCACTCATAAACAGTTGGAATTCACAAAAGGCTAACAATTTGCACTTTTGATACATCGAGAGCCAATTTTTTTTTTTTTATAATTGTTGAACGGCTAACACTTTATGAGGCTAAAATTTTGAGAGCCACTTGAACTTTTTTATCAAAAAATAATAATAATAAAGACAGAGATAGAGATAAACTTGAACTATATTTCACACAAAAATCGATACAAATGCTATTTACAGTAACTAATTCAAACTACTTGGATTTAGTAATAGCTCTTGCCAAATTGTTGAATCCCTTAGCAGGCCAACAGCCACTTAGGCTGTTGGTCATCACTAGTACTTTAAAGTCTTGGACCTCTCACTTTATCACTTAATTGTGGTTGTCACTTTCAAGTGACTTCCTCTGACTGAATTCTCCGTCGGTTAAACTCTCTCTTTCTTTAAAATAAGTTAAAATAAGTTATACAAATGCTATAGTTACAACAAAAAAGAAAATAACTCCCTTAGCAGGGCAGGTCGAACTGTTCTAGGACTCCTAAATATTCAGCCTTTTTCAACTTTTTTCAAGAAAAATGAGAAGAAATCAAAGACAAGACTTTTGGCACTTGGGGCGACTTGGCTGCTTCTGCTTCGTTAACCACAAGTTATCATCGCCGGCTTTCTTCTAGCAATCGTGATTCCGATCATCAAAGGCCTTTTCTCCTCTGCTGTTGGTAAGCTGTAGCTTCTTTCTCGCATGGATAGTTGTCAGTCCCCAGCTTTTTTGCTTTGTCCTGGATATTAGTATGTTCTTTTTCTTTTTTCCTTTTATATTTACTTATTGCAGTCCGGTTAAAGCCTTAAAGGTTTAAATCTAAACATCAAGGTGATTTCTTTGTTAATTTACCATTGATTACATCGGGTAGGATTGACAGAGGGAAAGATGGTTAATGATGAAGTTGTTTGTCTGCTGGAGGAGGTGGACGAGTTAACTACTATCCTACTCAAAATACTGTATATCAAGATATTGCAAGCCAAGTTATTTACTGAAAAAGTTGGTGAGGTCATCAGAGTATTGGAAATGGAAGGACCCCCAACTTTGCCGGACCAACTAGTAGAAGATATTGCACCTCTTGCACTGCCTGTAGGAGATAGGAGATTTTTCTCGGAGAACTAAGCTACTAATTACTTCACCGTTATATGATGAGTATAGGAAGAATATTCGTCACGGCTGGGAACGAATGCTATCAAGAGAAGCGCCAGAATTAGTAGAACAGATTGGTTTAAATGAGAATAAGCTGGAGAAATTTCTTGATGAATCTGACTTCTACAACTCCTGGGAAGATTTACGCCACAATTCAGCCTTACTACCTTGTCGTGAGGCGGTGAGGGATCTGCTTCAGTCTTGTCGAGAACTCAAAGACGCCATGAACTTTTTCCGTGAAGTGGGTACTGAGTCAGCTTTTCTCAGCCAACATCTAAAGTTCTTGCTGAGCTTTGCAGAGCTGTGCGGGCGTTCCAATGATTGGCGTTGTTGCCAATTTGTGAGAGGCATCATGGATGTTGCTGACAAAGCTCTTGAGGAGCTGGAATGTGCAGATAAATATGGTCTTAGATTAGAGATGCGGGAATTTAAATCAAATGTATATGCTTCAGCTAAGCTTGTAACGGAAAATTGTATCGAGAAGAAGGCCAAGAAATTTTTTGATGGGAAAAATGGGAAGCGATTGGTTTTGTTGGAGACTTTAGGAATGCTTCATTCCTTCACGGAAGAGATCGATACGACTCTTGGCAGGGAAGATCCTCAATCGCATAACGCTTCCTTTGGAAGAACTGGTTTTCCTTCACTGTCTATGATTCGCGACAAATTTGCTAGGGGAGATCTTCCTTCACTGCCTCTCACATATTATCTACGTGCTTTTCCTTTAGTTGAAGTAAGAAAAAGAAGAAGAGTTAAATAGTTTTCTAAAGAATGCAACTACGCAGATAGCAATGCATTGCAAAACATGATCAGCACAGCTTTGTACTGTCCAAGAGATTAATCTTCCCTGATTTTCAATTGTTGAAGCCTTGCTGGGCATTTAATTTACCAGCACATACCTATGTAGAGACTCATACACGTTAAAAGGAATGCATATTTTTATTATGCATTTTCCAGGAAAAAGAAAGCGGTGTGCGTTTAGAATGGGTACAAAAGTTAATTTACTGTCCTGATTTTAGTACTGATTTTAGGTACAAAAGTTAATTTACTGTCCTAATTTACAAAAGGAAAAACATACTGACCTTAAAGTACTTTCCAGATTCCTCATTTCAGTTTCACGGTTTTTTTTATTATTTTTTTCTTTTGGTAAAATAGTTTCAAGATACTTGCTGTAAAATGTCCTTGTGGTATATACTAATGCAAATGAAACACCTTGTTAAAATTTGTTTCTAAAGGAAAACAGAAATGCTTTTATGATGAACACTTAAGAATGCATATATTTATCTTAAAGAACTGCGCAATAAAGAATTTTCTCTTTGAAATAGAGGTCATGTTAGATTGAAATCCTCAAACTAGGCAACTAGTCCTGTGTATCTCTTTCATGCAGGTTTTGGTTCCCTAGGGTTGCACCAGATTTGCTAATAATATATGAGGATGTTAAAAATTTCGTGGTAATATGAACATGTAGTTAGGCAAGAATATGTGTTTTTCTTCAAGCCTTAGTGCCTTAGAAGCATTAGAAATTTCCAAACAGTTTTTTTTTTTTTTTTTTGGGGGGTTTAAAACTTCCATACAGGATTAGTCATATGACAAGAAATTCTGAGCTTATACTATAGTTCTTGGCCAAGTTTAGTCTCCGGATGCAAGCCCTGAAAGCGTGTCCATCTTGCAGGATCTTGATCTTCCAGGCCAAACCAAGTGCTTCCCATCTTGGAAGTGTGCAAGTCATTTTGATTAGCTAAAATTAAGAGTGGAGTACTTGAAGGTTAAAAATAGGAATGCCAGAATCATGGTCTTCTCTTTTTTTTTCCTTTTCTAATTTGAATTCTTTTGGACAAAACATGTAGTTTCTACTTCCCTTAGACAGCCCAGATAATATCTGCATCTGAATTGTGTGAACACGAAGGAAAATGAAATCAATTGGAGTACTTCCTCCACAAACTTTATCGTGATAAACGACCACTTCAAAGTGAAGCGTACAATTCTGGAGCAATCCCTTTCTAAAATTTTGGGGGAAAAAAATAGGACATATTGGTTTTTGATAAATAGCTTATCATATCTATTATCGCACTAACTTTCTGGTAGTATTTTAGGCATACTCGTGAAATTGACCCACAAATGGTAGTTTTATTGTATTTTACGAAGTTGTAAGGAAATTTTTGTTGCTGTGTTTGAGGAGTAGTATTGACTAGAAAGCCATGTGAAAGGATCACACACTGTCTCTGCTGTCAATTTCGTTGTAATTCTGCAGAGTGATAAAGAGACCAATATTCCTTCACGAGCTTGCCAAATAGTGAACCTGCTCTTTTTCATCAACTCGTTGGTTCATCATAAAACACAAGTTTCCTATTATGTTGTCAGGAAATTTTTAGCATAATGGTTATGCTCAAAAGAGTAGTTCAGCATAAAGCATGTGATAGAGAACTATGCAAGTGCTTTTCTAATCTAATTTATGTTACAAGCACTATGATTAAACTTAGGGATTAATTTTTAGGGACAACATCAGAAACTTCCCCTAAGGTTTTTCTTAATATCACCTAGCACTCCTAAGGTTTTAAAAATATCACTTACCTCCCTTACTTTTGTTATTTGTGTAACAAAATTTTTAAAAACCATAATCTACCCTTTCATTTGCTAAATAAAAATATTTTTAAATCACTTTGTTCACTTCAAGAAAACTATCACCTCAAAAACAATCTCTTGTAGTTCTACCACATCACAATGCTATACTCTATAAAAATATAAATTTAAAAATAAAAAATATATGGCTCTGTTGGGATTCTACTGTCTTAGAAATATTCGTTTTTATATTTGAAATCCACAATGACTTCAAAAACAACCTCAAAAATATATTTAAAAATGCACTAAAGTAAAATAAATTCTCACCCTCTTTCTCCTTTTTCACACACTATCATCACCGCTGGCCACCACCTTCGCCGGCAGTCACCATCCTCTTATTGAGAATGGGGGACCCTATGTCCATGTGATGAAAAAAAGGGCAGTGAGAGTGATTTAGCCGTGAAATTAAGGCGATTTGTTTTGTTTTTGAAAAGAAATACACTTGCATCAATTTATTATATATGCTTAAAACTGATTTCTTTTAATTTTCTATTTTTTCCCAACATCTTCTCAACCCTTATCCAAACCTTTAAACTGTACCAATCATTATAAAAATTAATTTAAAATAAGTAAATAAATCATACCCCACTTTATCACAATCACAGAAAGTAAAAGATAAACAAATTTTAGTTTATTATAATTTACAAATAAAATATTGCATAGTCATCCAAAAAATATGAGTAAGAGAGAATGATAGAGAAAATGAAAAAAGAAGAAAATGACTTTCGTTTGTTGTTTTTTCAATTTTTAAGCTCTATTTATTTGATATGTTGTGAATTATGTGCCCATGAGGGTTAATATAGTCTTTTTATAATTATTAGGGGAGGTAAATAATATTTTCAAAACCTCAAGGGTGTCAAGTGATATTAAGAGAAACCTTAAGGGAGGTTTCTGATATTATCCCTAATTTTTATACACAATTAGTGTAAAGTTTTTCTTTCTTTTTACACAAGTAGGTTTAGATGAATGCTACGGCATCACTATTCAAACTTTAAATTCACGTTTTGTCTATGTATCATATATCTATACCTATTAATGTAAAAAAACTTTACACTAATGGTGTATAAAACACTAATTCTTAAAATTATACAATAACATAGTAAAAGTGCAATGTTGTGACTGAGCTGCGGAATCTCTTTATCTCTTTGGTTTTAGATGGTACTTCCTGCAGTATTTTCCTTTTTTATTGTTAGCTCAGTTTGTATGATTATCTGTAGTGGATAAATTAAATTTAATTTCTATTTGAACTGTAGAAGAAAAGCAAAATATGTCTCCTAGCGAAAACTTGAATTAAAAGTTTAACCAGTTGATGTTGCCAGTCTGAGAATATTAAATGGTTCGGTTGCAACTTGCACAACTTTAGTGATGTGTTAGATTACTAATTTGTCAATTTGATTTATCACTAAGAACCCTAGGGATTAAGACGCTACTACATTGATTTGACAAAAAAAAAAAAAAAAGATTTGCACGCCACGGGTGAATTTGTATATGCAAGTAATTTTTAAACAAAAATTTGCAATAGCATCGTGATATGATATATACACATAAAAAAAATCAAGATATGATATATACACATAAAAAAAATCAAGTGATACATTATTTGTCTCCTGTCATATCAGATTGATTTGAGTGGATATTGTAAACTCAAATTAATTAAGCCATGAATCATGTGTAGAGTGGGTGTCAAACACCCCCCCCCCCCAATGAAAATTAACATAACATGGTACGGACTATTTTCTTTCCATTTATTTGGTAGGGACCTCAATTAGCTTGCAGATTTACGTAAAATCCATTGAAAACCAACCAAAGATTGCATCCTTTTATTTTTAAAAAAAACTTTTATAATTAATGATTTTTTTGTTATAAAAAGTTTAGATGAGTTTGGCTTTGATCACAACCACGTATCACGGCATACCGTGAGTAGTGATCAGAGCCAAGCCCACCTAATTTTTTGGACTTAATGGTATCAAACTATCAACATCGATTTCTGCTAACCTGACCCAAGTAGGACTTGGTGGACATATCTCTAGGTTTAGACAGGGACAAGTCTATTAGTGGAAAGATAGGAAAATACTCTGATATTGGAAATTGATATTTGCACTTCTCATTTAACCTCTCAAATTATCAATGTCTATTTCTACTAGCCAAGAAAATCTCTGTCACCCAAGTAGGACTTGGTGGACATATCTCTAGGTTTAGATAGGGACAAGTTTATTAGTAGAATGATAGGAAAATACTCTGGTATTGGAAATTGATACTCGCACTTGTCATTTAACCTCTTACACTTCAATTTATTCACTAAAAATATATAGTCTCTAAACAATATTAGAAACTAATTTAAGAGTGCAGATATCACTTCTCCTAATATTTAACGTAACATAAGTTTTTAATGCCTCATCTATGTTCATGTTCCATTTTCTGACGTAGCGCGAGTGTAAAATACTAAAATATAGCCCATGAGTACATGCACTACCTCAAAAATAAAAGGCAAGGAACTGAAGGATACATGGCAATCAAGTTGGACATGGCTAAAGCCTATGATAGAGTGGAGTGGCATTTTTTGCAGGCAATGATGCAGAAGATGGGATTCTGTCCACAATGGATCAATTGGATTACTAGTTGTATGAAGTCTGTCACTTACTCTTTCAACTGCAATGGAGAAATCAAAGGCTTTGTTACACCAGGGAGAGGAATAAGGCAGGGAGATCCCTTGTCTCCCTACCTTTTCTTAATCCGTTCAGAAGGTTTCTCAAGCCTGTTGAGAAAAGCAGAAGGAAGAAATGAGATAAAAGGGCTGAGAATTAGTAGGCAAGGGCCTATCATTACTCATCTCTTCTTTGCAGATGACTCACTCATTTTCTGTAAAGCCAGTATTCATCAGGCCAATGAAATTATGAAGCTCCTCAAAACGTATGAAGAGGCATCAGGTCAGCTGATCAATTTAGATAAATCAGCTATATTTTTTAGCAAAAACATGAATCTGGAACAAAGGAAGGAAATATGCAGTGCTCTGGGTGGAATGGTAGAAATGACACAAGAGAAATATTTAGGTCTCCCAATGGTGATAACAAGAACAAAGGATCAGGTGTTTGGGTTCATCAGAGACAACATAAGAAGAAAGCTTCAGGATTGGAAAAATAAGTTACTAAGTACTGCAAGTAAGGAGGTAATGCTGAAGGTAGTCTCTATGGCAATGCCTACATATGCCATGTTCTGCTTTAACTGTCAAGGAAGCTGTGCAAAGACATTACTGCATCTATGGCTAACTACTGGTGGGGAGAGACATATGGGAAAAGCAAGATGCATTGGCTGTCATGGAAAAAAGTGGCACTGAAAAAATCTGAAGGTGGCTTAGGATTCAAGGATATAGAAGCATTTAATAAGGCTTTGTTGGGGAAGCAGATCTGGAGGGTTTTTGTAACAGCCCCACTTTCCCCTAAGGCGAACCAAAGGGGTTAGCGGACTGCCTGCCCAACTCTCGCCAGGACTACGGGCAGTTACACGCGATCTAGAACGTTTCGGGAAAGTAAAAGCGCGTTCGGACAAGCCACAAGTATCAAATAATCAAAATAAAAAAAAACGAAAACGATGAATAGTGGCCTGGACAGCAAAATCCGGCCGGAACCTGGCCGGATTAGCGGCCGGATTCTTGGCCGGATACTGTCCAGTGAGCAAGTTCACGGATTCAAAATTTTCCAACGCAATCCGGCCGACAATCCGGCCAGTTTCTGGCCGGATTCCTGGCCGGATTCAATCCAGTGCCTTTCCGTCAAAAATTTTCCTTTTGCCGTTTGCAAGCCGAATCAATCCGAAAGTCAACCAAACATAAATACAATGAAATTCAACATTTACAACCACATTGGCATGTCAAAAGCTATTCCTCATGGATACACATGTTCGGTTTGTCAATCAAAAGGGTGAACCCAATACACATTAGGGTTTCATGCAAAGGGCTATTCAAAATAGACATATACATGGCTCAATTTGGCAACCAACAAGTATGATCCTTTCTTTCTCAAAATAGTCATTTTTCCTGTAAGGAAAACAAATGGAACGGAGTGAGCTAAAGCTCAGTGAGCAACTATCACATAATCAACAAAGATCACTTAACCTTAAACTTTCATTTCAAGTACGCAATTAAGAAATAAGACAAGTCGGTAAAAGGATACGGACGGCTCTCAAGAGCCCATTTCCACGCTTATATTCTTGATCCAATCTCATTGACTCTCCGTCAACGTTCATGAGTACCAACCGTAGAACCCACTTCACTCCCATTCCTTCCACCAAACATACCCCAACCGGGCCCGCACTCCAATCAGTAGCTTTTGGTAATACTCGAGTATACCGGAACCAAGAGTCTCATTACTACAAGATTCCTCAGTACAGTCCCCGTGGCATGTCAATTTTCACGACCAAACCCTCGCCGGCTCGATTCAATTGACTACCAACGGGGTTGAGCTCAGTAGTACAGTAAGGCCGTTGGATACTCCTCCAAACGACACCCAATCAGTTTTTCATGAAGTGAATTCAATATCTCATATAGCAAGTGCAGTATATCAGTAAAACGGTAATCAGTCATTAACGGTATCACAAGGGGTGAGGGCGGTCAAGTACACCCTCACCTCAATCCATTCCAATAGCCAAATAAGCCTTCAAGGCACCAAAATCACATATAGCAAAGCCACATTGTAACATTCAAGTGAGTAGTATACTCACACTCAAGTAGGTGATGTGTCAAGCACCGTCGCTAAACGAACGTCGTGCACCACCGTCACTTCCTAGAACATGCAAACAAGTGCAATGAGACTCGATAACGAGTCATAAAGCAATGCCAATCACAATCCCAATAAGGTTTTCTATGCATATATAGGCATTATAGCAAACCAGAAAATTCAGCAATGCACTAACTTGTCCTTAACAAAAAAACAGTTTTCGTCCTCCTTATGCGGTAATGGCACAAAATGCGCTACGCTTATCGGATGAGGGTGCAAGACCCACCATCGAGAAGCTAAGAGACAGGGCTACAACAATGTAGAAGGCCACTCAGTCCAAATCCTAGTACAACTAGGTCAAAAATGCAGAAAACCAACCCAGAATCGTAATTGCAGGTTCCCAAATCACACAAAACTGTAATCAGTCTATCTCAGCCTACACAGGTCCAAATGCATTGATTCCAAAGGTATATGAAAGCTAAGACATCAAGCTACATTTCATCAGAAGACACCAACAACAAAATCCAAACCAATTCCAGTCAAAACAGGCAATTACTATCGCAGTTCGGACATTCTGTTCACCAAAAACAGCAACAGTAAAAATGGCATAACTCACTCTATACGACTCCAAATGCCCTGAAATTTTGCAGACACTTCATACTCATCAATACCTACAACTTTCATGTTTTGAGCAAAGTCCAATTCGGCCTCTATCTATGATCTAAAACCGGACAGAATTAGGGGTTTTGAAACCCTAACATTTCTCAATTCAATCCAAATCCAAAATTGATTGCATTTATCAACAATTCACACCTACTAGAGTCAAAGCCCCTTATTACCAACCATCAAAAACAACCACACCATCAAGAACATATGAAACCAGAAAATTCCTCAAAAAACAAAAAACTCAACCAATTCATTCCAAACCATGAAATAATCCACAATTTCTAACACAATAGCCACCATTAGGCATAAATTCAACATCATTAGATATAGGAGGGTGTTCATATACCACTTACCAAGTAATCAAGAGAGAGGAAGATGTTGGACACCTTAAGTCTTCAAACAAACTTCACTAAACTACTTACTAGCACCCAAGGGAGGAATTTTATGGAGTGAAATCTAGTTTAGGTATTTGTTTTTGGAAGATTGGACCAAATGGAAGCTTGAAAATTGATGAAGTTTCTTCCTTCTTTGAGCTTGAGAGGGCCGGCCAACAAGAGGTGAAAAATGGTGAATTTTAGTGATTTTTGAAGATATTAACCACTTAGTCAAAATAGTCAAAAAAAAGAATAGTAACTCTGAAGTCCTAACCAATATCATGGTGACATGTGGCACTCCAATAAATGCATTCCTATCCTTTCTTTTCTCTCTCACATCAATCATATCACACACTCTACTTATCTCTTATCACCCGATAAATTTTTCACAGTATCCGAAACTTAACCTTATTGGCCGAATTTTTCCGAACTTTTCGCACTAGCGGGGCCCACATCCATAATCTATCCGTAATTTTGCAAAAACTACCCAATGCTAGGAAAATCATCTAAAAACTATAATTACTCATAAAATCCACCAAGAAAATTTTCCTAAGCCAGAAAATGCAGAAAACAAGCAATTAAAGGGGAAAAACCCTAGGAAAATTCTTAGGGCAAAACGGGTTCTCACAGTTTTAACCAATCCAAATCTACTCATCAGTAGAGTACTGAGAGCTAAGTACTTCCCTAAGGACTCCATATTCAAGTGCAAACCTCAAAAAAATGTCTCTTGGATTTGGCAAAGTCTATTAGGAGCCAGAAGCTTAGTTGAAAAAGGTGTGATCAAGAGGATTGGCAATGGGAAAAGCACAAACATTTGGGAGTATAAATGGATTCCAGGATCATCTTCTGGTAAGCCTTCTACCCCAAGACCTCTTAACAGCTCACTAAAGATAGTACACGAGCTTATCATTCAGAAAAGATGGGACAGGAACACCATTTTTAGAGTTTTTAACCAAAGTGATGGAGAGAGGATTTTAAGCATCCCTATCAGTTCAATAGGTAGGGAGGATAGCTATTTTTGGCAACACAATGCAGGAGGTTGTTATTCTGTAAGTTCTGGATACAAACTTTTGATGGAAGAAAATAACAGTACTGAGAAGGCAAAATTAGGAAAAGCTGGTCCAAGCATAATGGAAGAAAGCCAACAACTGAAACAAATATGGAATACTCTTTGGAAGCTTAACATAAAACATAAGATTAAGCTGTTTATATGGAAGTGCATCAAAGGGGCATTGCCAGTCAGAGAAGCAATCTTCAGAAGGACAGGAATGGGAGATTCAATATGTAGAGCTTGTGGGGAGAGCCAGGAAATAGTGGAACATCTACTATTAAACTGCCCAAATACCTTGGATATATGGAAAGTGACCCCAATACAATGGGATGGAGCTAGAGATCAACAAGGAGACTTCAAACGATGGTGGAGCAAAATATCAGAGGCAAAGACAAGACTAGAAGGGGCACAGCATATTGGACTGACTGCAAATATTCTGCAAGTGTGGAAAGAAAGAAATAAGAAGGATTTTGAAAATCAAAACAGATGTCCACCGGTGAAGACAATGAACAAGGCTCAGAAGGAGTGGATGAAACAAGAGAAACAAGGAAAAACTAAGGACAGCATGAGCACAGGAGAAATAGCTGTCAACCAAACAGTACATCAGCAGGAGCATGAAGATGAGGGGATCATAATACTGGAAGTGAATACAACAAGCCAGCAAAGACAGCCTTCATTTGGAGTTGGAGCCATAGCTAGGACATACCAGCACACAAGGATTGTAGAATGGGCACTAAAGGAGAGAACACTCGGAACGAAGATCCTTGATGATGCGGTAGCAGTTAAACTGGTCTTAAGTAAAGCTATGGAGCAACATTGGGACAGGATCAAAATCCTTTTCCACAACAAAGAATTACTGAGACAGTTAAGGCATCAGAGCTCCTCAGAAAGCCGTTTAGCAACATTGGTTGATGATATTACTGAATTGCAGAAGATGTTTTGCATGTGCTCTTTTGAGCTGGTTAGTGAAGAAAATATGACAAATTGTAAAAGACTTAGTTTTTATGCCTTAGGCATTCTTGTGAATGAGGAATGGTACTTTCCTCAGTGCACTTGAGCACTAGTTGTAAAGCTTTTCGAGCCTTTGCTCACACATGTAAATTCCTTTTAGTGAATGAAAAAATCTTATCGTTTCATTAAAAAAAAAAAGAATGCTTTATCGAAGTTTTTTGCTTTTTTTTTTGGGTACCAAATTTAATCATAACTCTTGTGCCCTTATAAAGTTTACGAATTACAACATCTCAATTAAATGCAGTCCACTACTCTGCCCATCTTTTGATCTTCTGACAATTAAAATCATTTCTGCAAATATGAGTTATGAATTACAGATGGCTTCTTTGGCCCCTCGGACTAAATCGGATTCTTTTTTTCTTTCTTTTTTTCGTCGGTTAAAGGATATGGTTATTGAATCCTAACTTATCTTCATTCCATAAAAGAAAGTTGATGTGCGGAAAACGGGGTGCGGTGAGGTGCATTGGTGGGTGTTTGGTATTTATTGCTAAATTGTCTTTATTCTATAAATATTAAAAAAATAAAAATAGTGGAGGTGTTGGGCAGTTGACCAACAGCATCATCCTTTACATTATTTGGATTGTAAATTATTTGAAAAAATTTTGTGAAAAAGTACTGTAGCACTTTTTTGATATGATATATGTAAGATAAAAAGGTGATTAAAAAATATGCTGATGATGCAAGCAAATAAGTGTGTATAAATAAGGTGTAAATAAAGTGAAATAATTGACAATCCAAACACTCAAATCAATATTTACAATGATTGGACTGCATGAGCTCAACTTGATGACACATTTATGTTTAATAAAAAAACAGCATCATTTCATTAAATCTGCGTTAGTGACAGAAATTATATCAATTATACAAATCTAGAAAATCAATAACGTATAACATTGAAATTCTAAAAAAAATTAAAAGATAAAATATTTTTAATCTTAAGATCATTCGCGTATGCTTCCAACTATACCGCATGCTTCCTTCTAAATCTGATAATGAATTGATTTAAATTCATATATTAAAGTGAGAATTGACATGGTGACAACCAAATTTCAAAAAATCTATATCTAATATAAGAGGTAGACTAACCACAAAATCTCTCACTAAAAATTTTTAGAAGAGAAGAAACTCTCACTAAAAATCTTTAAGAGAGAAGAAACTCCCCCTAAACAACCTCCCCACAGGAGGAAATTTGATGTTACATGTTTGATTTCAAGACATTGAAGTCAATATTGATTTCAAGATATTGATCTTTCACCCGCCGGTCCATCGGATCCACATAAAACTAGATTTTTTCAAATAACATGAACTCCTATTAATTTTGTCCTGCTATAATTTTTTTTTTTTTTTTGGTAAAGAAAAGTTCAGAAAGATTGTATGGTTACCTAGTTCCAAAATCACAGAAAACATTAAAGTCTTATGAATGCTAAAACTTCGCGACCAATTAATTTTTGCCCGGGACACTCAGTTAGCTTGCAGATTTATGAAAAATGCATTGAAAACCAACCAAAGTTGCATCTTTTTAATTGAAAAGAATATCTTCTAGGCTTAATGGTATCAATATTTGATTTCTTCTGGCCAAGAAAATCTCAGACGGTGACCCAACTAGGACCACCCCCAAGAAAAGGACCCAACTAGGACCACCCCCAAGAACCCAACTAGGATGAAATGAAAAGGACCCAACTAGGATGAAAAGGACCACCCCCAAGAAAAGAACCCAACTAGGGCCAAGAAAATCTCTCAATATTTGATTTCTTCTTGCAAATGAAAATCTCAGACGGTGACCCAACTAGGACCCTAATTTTTAATATAAAATGAAATGGAAATGAAATGGATAAACAATTTTTATGATAGAGTTTCACAAATTTTTCTTCATTTTGTTCATTTGGTTTAGGTTTCATCAAGAATATTCACTTTTTTCAAACAAGATAAGGAGAGGCGGATCATATGGGATTAGAATATGAGGTTGTGAGTCACTTTACTTACACTTAGGATTAAAAATTATAAAATTATAAAATGACCCCTAATTTTTTAATATTTACATAATATACCTTGCGGGTCGGGTACCCATGGGTTTTTATTTTCTTGATCCATATTCGTATCCCTTTTTAGGGTACCCGACCCGCATCTGCCCCGCTAAAAAAAGTTGGATCAGATATCCTATTTTTCGGATCGAATTAGTCAGGTTTTCGGATCGACGGATTTTTTGACCCACCCCTAGTTATAGATTCTGTGAACCCCTTTTGGATAATATTCCAAAATTCCAATATCTTTGAAAAATCCTTCATCATTGACCTCCAAGTCTCAAAATTATTTTTACCATCAAAGATAAAAGCAGGACAATATTGTAAATAATGGGGATCCATACTTTAGTTTCACGAACAAGCTCCAAGCCCCAATTTTGCGGACAAACCCCAGGATCAAAGTCTAGAGCTCTGATATCACTTGTTAGCACACCAAAAATCCTCGCGCACAGCAGAAACAATTTTGACACATATAAAAATATGTGGGAAGAGGAGGAGAACAAATACTCAATAATTTATTTATTTCAAAACCCAGCAATAATAAATATCAAGTCATAACTTTTCGCTCACAAATCTTAACTATGAGATTTTCTCTCAAACCTACTCTTAAAACTCAAGTCAACTCTTCAAATAATAACTTACTAAGCTGTTAGTATTTATAGACTCCAAAATTTTTTAAAACAAATACAGTTATAACCCAAAACTTACTTGAAAACTGATTGAGATTTCTTAATTTAATATGGAAACTAGACAAATAAGACACCAAAAAGAATTAGGAGACTAATACTAAAATAGCTTGGTTTAATTTCCTACAAAAATTTTTTTAGTACCAAACTTTATTCTAACTCTTATGGGGACCTGTTTCTTTGCATCCATGAGTCAAGAATCAAAGGGGCCTCTATTAATTTATTAAATACATTAAATAATGTCCAGTGCACTTAACTTTCATTAATTCCCGTATTTCAAGTAAGGTTGCTGTGATAAAGATTACGAATTACGATGTCCCAATTTAATACAGTCCACTTCTTTGCCTATATGGCTATATCTTGTTTTTTCACAATAAAAATCACTTCTGAGAATTTAACCCCCCCAAACATGAATGACATATAGCTTGTTTGGCCCCCCCGACTGAATTGGACCTTTTTTTGGGTTAAAAGATTTGGGTATCTAATTCTACGGTTTGACTAACGAGTGTGTATTGGCCACTCGTTAAAAAAGTACTAGATATTAGTTTTTTTTTTTTTGAAAAAGTATAACTAATTTGAAAAAAAATGTTGCAATTTAGGAGGTATAATAAATGTTAATATGTATTTTCACATGATAATTTTACTGTACTTTAGATGTCTTAATGAGTATCCAATTGAAACTCGTAAGAAAACAAATACATATTCCGGAATTATTTTCATTCCATTAAAAAAAGAAAGCTGATATACATAAAACGGGGTGATGCGAGGTGCAGTTGGTGGGTATTTGGTATTTACTGCAAACTTATTCCCGAATTATTTTCATTCCATTAAAAAAGAAAGTTGATATACATAAAACGGGGTGATGTGAGGTGTAGTTGGTGGGTATTTGGTATTTACTGCAAACTTGTCTTCATCCTATTAAAAGAAAGTTGATATACACATGAAGAGGCTGTTCCTAAATGGTCAAGCCGAGCTGACCTGATGCCTCCTCTTCCTGATCGAGGTGATTTGGTGGTGTTCTTTTCTTAATACACATACTAGACAGGGCATTTTCCCTCGAAATACCTCCGATGATTAAGTTAGTTTTCTTGGAAAGTTAATAATGAAACAGAAATAGAAGAGTCCTTACTCTCTTTTTTCTCCTCCCCCTTTCTGAAGGAGAGGGAGTAGTATTTATAGGGGACAAGTGGGAGGAAGGAATAGTGGGTTTCAACTTCCTAGGACCTAACAGGAACTAACATGTCCAGTCTGATTTGACAGCACGAAGCAGTTGACAGGTCCCATCAGATGTCTTGTCCGCCATGCATGTGTCAAGTTCTCTGATAAGACTTCGGATATCGTGTCAAGCACAGCACCAATCCAAGGTATCAATGGATGTGGGAGTCACCTCGATTATCCGCATGCGATGTCTAGCATAGGTAACCAAGACTTGTGGCAACCCATCCCAAATAACAAAGGGTTGAGCTCGATATGGCCGAGCCAGGATGGCTATCCTCAGTACACATAATATATACACATAAAATGGGTTAAGTGTTGGTGCGGTTGAACCAAAACAATCATCCAATTTATGGTGATTGGACCGGATGAGCTTAATTTGATGATCGATAGTTGATTTCCAAATTTTGAAGTCAATGTCCCATATTACACATTTACACCACGGCGTTGGCCTTGCTTCACTCACCAGTGCCCCGCATCCACATAAGACGAGTTTTTAATTAGATTTTTTTTTGGCAGCGAAAAGTTCAGGAAGAGGCAAAGGTTACGTAATTCTAAAACCAGAGAAAACATCGAAGTCCTAAATAGGTAAGAACCCATTTGGACTACTATTTTTAAAAGTTTTTGTAAAAAAAATATGTTGCAACAATTTGATATATGTGAAATAAAAATATGATTCATAAATGTGTTCACGCAAAACGTAAAAAAATTTCTTAAGAAAACTGTAATCCAAATAAGGCCTTAACTTGTCTCCCAATTAATCTTTGATAAGGATCCCAAATTTACCCATGAAATATGGCCCCACTGCCGGAAACAATTAAGAAATTTTATGTGTTGTGTGAATCATGTGAAGTGGTATGGCATCAGTTTATTTCCCATTTGGTAATAGTATGCCTCAGTTGTCACCTACCAAAAACCATGTAAGAAGAGGATATCATTATTTATTTATTTATTTGTTTTGCTTTAAGCATCCGATATCTCCACTCTTAGTAAAACTAATCCGGATTCCGTCCAAGGAGAATCCGTAAAGTTTGACTTTTATTCGGGGGTGAGCATCCTACCGGAGTTTTTCAAGACGTCACATGTAGAGTCGAACTTGCGATCTACTATTGACATTAGCAACTTGCTTGCTAGCTGTCCCAAACTCATTCATATCATTTATTGTGTTAACTAACTTCTAGGAGTCATTATTGGAGAGTCATTTTTGCCGGGGACAAGAGAAGTAGATCTCTCCAAAATAATTTGTCAAGGATGGCCTTCATTCTATCCAATGTTGGTGACGTATTCTTGTCGTAAAGCAAAAATCAGACTAAGAGATATCGATTAAAATAAAATTTAAGTTGCCCACAAGAAAACCTTAGTTATAGGCACTAAAAAATGAATGGTTTCACTCGAAGTGGAAAATGTGTGCAAGATGTTATTGATATGTGTAAAATGTGTGTAAGATGGAAAATAATTTGAAAACTTAAAAGAAGGTTGATGGGAACAGGTGAGGTATCGGTGTGGTTGGCTTGCCAAGCGCACTATTAAATTCTCGACATGGATCGGACCACATGAACTTGGTTCGATCCATTGGATCATTGATTTCAAAATTTTCGGCTGACGTGAAATAAACAGTCGAGATCGAGCTGAGCTCATGCTGGTAAAATAAACAAAGTAAGAAAGCACCGCAGCAGGACCCAAACACGAACTTTTCTTAGACTGTGTATATGAACCTTACCAGTTTAGCGGAATCCTAGCTTTAGATGATTTCCCCATTTAACATCACAGGTTAAAAAGTTTTATAAATTGAATTTGATAGGAATTAACACCTCGAAAAAGCCCACCAAAGAGTTGAATATATAAATCAGAAACCTAACTCTAATTCAAAAACTTAAATCATTAGGTTTTAGACCCTTATTTACATATTAATCGTTTTCTCTCTATCTTTCAGATCAATGTGGAACATAATATTTTATTCATGAACCTAACAGAATGCCCTTTTTTTTTAAATTTATTTGGAGTTTGTAGGATTTATTTTAAAAAATAATATTGTAGCACTTTTTTGGCAAATGTGACACATGTGAGGTAAGAGTTGTGAAATGTGTTGATAGAATATTCTTCAAAATTTTTGAAAAAAATTGCAATCCAAAGCCCAAACAAGGCCTTGCCACCGATTAATTACTGCCCTAAGAAACCATTATATATATACAGATTGCATTGGAGAGATAAACCGTGATGAAATATGGTCCCATTGATTGGGAAATGGCAAGCAATTATGAAGATTTAAATGAGGTGTCATCTGTGAATCATGTGATACAGTTTTATCTTTTTTGGTAATAATACAGCCTCAGTCATCACCTACCCAAAACCATTTAAGGGAACATATGATTTATTGCTTTTCACTAACATCTGAAATTCATCGATGCCGTCATTTTGGGCATGGAGAAGAGAAGTAGATCTATCCAAAAATATTTGTTAAGGATGGACCTCATTCTATCCAATTTGGTTAAGGTGACAAAGGAGGATTGATCAAAATAAAATTTAAGTTGCCCACAAGAAAACCTTAGTTGTAGGCATTAAAAAAATGAATGGTGTCGAGTCTGTTGACCCTAAGTGCAAAACTATAGATGTAATATGATTATAGATTAATAGAAAATGAGGATAATCACATTTTAATGGATGCTGAGTATCATTTATTAGGGCTGATGTACCAATACAACATCTCATGAATTAAAAAAAAAAAATGATAGTTGCTGGCGAAGATAATTGGTTCCTCTTACGTGGTTTATAGAGCCTGAAAAAGAAAGGGTGGGGGTGGAGGTGGGGGGTGAAGTCACCCATCAGTTCTATACTATATAAGGAGCAGAGGGATAGTCTAGCAGACCACAACTGAGACTTCCTTCAATATTTCTTTGCCTTTTTTTGCTGCAGCAGTATTTGGTCATTTCCTTCTCAGTTTCTCAGAAAAAAAAAAAAAAAAAAAATGGGGCTCAAAGGTAAAATGATTGGTCAAACTAACATCCATGGCCCTGCTGGAGATGTGTTCCATGATGCCTTCAGCAAAAGACCACACCATCTTGCCACCATGACTCCTGAGAAAGTTCAAGGGTTTACTTTGCTTGGTGGTGATCTTGGAACTGTTGGATCCAAAATCTGCTGGCACTATACCCATGGTATGGAATCAATATTCAAGTTCCTTATTTTAGCACTTTCTTCCCCGCAGTTTTTCTTGTTTTTCCTTTATTCATTTAGCTTTTGTTGCGTGTCGGTCAGCTTCTGGACTAAGTTGATTTAAACTCTCTCCATCTGTTTTTCCCTGCTTTGAACTGGCACACAACTAGTTATCTAACTTATTTGCCAGAAAAAAGAAAGGATAAAAGCTTAATATCTGCCTCGGGAAAAAGTTTTAATGAAAAACGGACTAGATCTATTACTATTAATAATATTATTATTAGTATTTCTACAAAGACAATAATCTGATTGTGGAAACTACAGAGGTTAATTAAGGAAGTCCATCTTCGTAAAGAATTCAATCAATTAATACTACAGAATTTTTTTTCTTTTGCTTTTTCTCAAATTTTTTATGCGAAATACCAGGTATTTCACAACGAGAATACTTCCCTGGTTGTGTAAATAGTATTGTCTATCCTAAAAACAGAAAAGAAAGAATTCCGCAAACCTTGTTTTTGGATTACCAGCATGTTGACTAGGAATTGGAGAGTCTGTAATTGATTTACTTTTCATTTTTACAGACGGGAAAGATAGGGTGGCAAAGCAGATTATTCAAGACATAAATGAAGAAAAGAAATCAATCGTATTTAAGATGATTGAAGGAGATCTGATGGAGCTGTACAAGACCTTCACTATCATATACCATGTTGATGTTCTTGGTGACAAAGAAAGTTTGATTACATGGACTCTCGACTATGAGAAGCTGAAGGAAGATACCCCACATCCAGGAACCTTGCTCAACTTTTTCCTTCACATGGTTGAAGACATTGAATCTCATCATATCAAAAATCCTTGAACCATCTATATATATAGACATATCTCTTCTAAGTATTTAGCGTGTTTGAAGTTGCTATGGTGTCTTCTAAAATGGATGCACGAATAAATGTGTGCTATTAAGTGCTATGTCATTATAAAGCTAATGCTTGTTAGTTTCACAAGTAATGTTTGTAAAAGTTGAACAACATAAATAAATATTATTTGTGAGTAATGAATATTTGTGATTTTATTGTGACATACATGTGGTTGCTTCGTACTGGCAAGGACCTATTTTTCTTCGGCAAATTTGCTGATTTCAAAATATAACCCCAAATGATTTCTTTTATTTGGCCAACTAGTCTAATATATTCCATTAAAGTAAAGAATCATAATTCCAAAATATCGCACCACTTATATTTCTTTTTAACTCAGATAATAAATATTTGGACATGACTTTGGTGCAAATACATTTACCAGCATGAACTTATTACAATTAAAGTAGCAGAAGCAGTATGATGGCTGATGAGAAGTATAACCTTGAGAGCTAGATTGTATTCTTTAGCAAACTGACCCTTTTTTTTTTTTTTTTGGGAGCTGTTTAACTGTAAAGAGTTTAAAGTTTATACTTTTGTTACTTCATTACTTGAGTTGATTTACCAAACTAACCTTTCAAAAAGAAAAGACTTACCAAATTTAAAAAATTAATAAAACGGTGGTATATCTCCCTTTTCAATTTTTCTTTTTTAATTTATCCCCATCTCAAACGGGTTTGTCTACCTGCGTAAGAATTCCTTTGAATTGTGCCACTTTGTGGAGGATGCCCCTTAGCAAAATACATAAGCTCCTTTTTATTCAGTAATCCATACTATAGATGTGTTTAATTTGGACAGGTCCAGGTGCTTCTAGTTATATTTCGTGATCAAAATTTCACACAAAAGAAAACTAAAATAAAATAATAGGGGCAAAAAAAATAATGTCCAGTGGTCTACATAACTGAGGAAAATGAATCTAGGGCCAAAACAAGTAAAGCTTTAAAATAATTGAACTTTTAGAATACATTAATTTTTTAAAGTTAGTATGAATGAACACGTAGAATTGTTGTTAATTTTCGTATTTAAATTATTCATATTTGTATAAATTCGCAATAAATAAAAATAGACCATAGTAAGGCACGGGCAAAATTCTAGTTTTACTATTAAAATAAAAAATATAAATATAAATATATAAAATCGAGTTAACTCGCAAGCTAACAAGTTAAGCATCTTTGAACTCGAATTTGACCTGAAGTTCGACTTAGTTAGTTTGAACTCGATGTTGATCTAACTCAAGTCAACTTTTGACTCGAATTGCTAGCGAGCAATTCGATTTGTTTGGAACCCTACTATGCCCATATTCTTCTTCTAGTAGTTCGTCCTCTTCTTGTTTTATAGCTCATAGCCCTCGCTTAAGGTCGTTTAAGTTATCTGTCTCCTAAGTACATTTGATACCAACTCTAGTAATAAAGAGAAACCATACCAAAAAAATATCTCTTTCTCCTTGTGAGATCTCGAGTTTGAGCGCTAATTGAAGCCAACTATATCCAAAAAAACAAATAATTAATACTTAATATTTAGTTCTTCACATTCATGAAGTCGGTAAAATGCACATTATCCTAGTGTATTGTACCATTTAAACCCAATATTACCGTTGTTGCTGATTGGGTAGTTTTTGTCTATAGTAATGCACTTTATAAGCCATAAGTATATGCTATGGCCTAAAATCTCGAAGTATTTTACTGAGAGTAACTATCCAACAAGCAACACTAACAATCATGGTCTAAGCACTCGACAAAAATCAGTGACAAAGCGTGCACATTATATAGACAAAGTTCATGTTTTGATGCAATTGACAGTCGATAGGAATGGTATAAACTTTTAGTCGCATCATCTTGTATTTTCTTTTAGGCACCGTTTGGATTGAAAGAAAGGGAAGACAACGAAAGGAGAAGGCTCTAGTGGAAAAGAAAAGAAAGGGGAGTAGAAGAAATCTGAGTCCATCTATTTTGTTTGGATTATGGGAGGAAAGGAAAGGACACTATCGATCGTCAATTACATTTTTATCCATAGTTTAAAGTTTAATTTATAAACACGTGAATTTTCACTAATTTTGATGTCATTTTTCTCTAATTTTGTCCACTTTTGGATGTGAAGCAGACTGAAAAAAAAAAACTATTCTTATCCCTCCCTTTCCCTTCAAATCCTTTTCTTTCTCTCCTCAAAAACTAATCCAAAATTTAAAAACTTTATCCCTCCATTTCCGTTTGCTTTCCTTTCCCTCCCATTCTCTCAAAACAACAATGCCTTAGGATTTTTGTAAAGGTTCCCATCCAGGTAGATACTTGTTAACGTACCTAAATTACATCTAACTTACCATATAAATTCACACAATCACAATTATTATATCCCCTGAATTTATAAACTTTTTCAAAGTAATTACATTTTTTCAAAATTAATGCTTAATGTCCCACTTAGCGAGGGCCATTTGAACACCGGTTAGCCAAGCTGATATTTCAACGAGGGCAAATTGCACACCCGTTAGCCAAAATTCATATTTCAATTCCACTGGATGCTCTTACCTCCCTAAAATAAATATTCCAAATTTTTAAGGAAAAATGTTACCATTTGAAATTCTGGGACAGATGAATTTCAAAGTGTTAGGTTCTGCTGATGCCATATTTCATCAATAATGTCGACCATGTTAGAATAAATAATTCCCAAAATTAGTCTAATTACATACACTTTGAATTTATATGTTTTAATAGCGTGAGTGGAAAGCTCAAAACCAAAATCTCTCACTTACATTCCCTTTCCCGAATCACCCAACCCATCCCTTTCCCTATGTACTTTTTGATAAAAATTTATGAAAAGGAGTAAATCTTTTAACATTAATTTCTTTGTATTTTTCTTTTTAAAAAAAAATTCATTTCGAGTAAGTAACGTAAATCCCATTTTACCGTTTCTTTGTCTTGGCATGGCATGAGCTCACGAGAATACTACGATTGATTTAGCAAACAAACGCTAAAACTAAAATTTATATTGTAACGTACTTCTGTAAAAGGATTTGAGTTTACTTTCGACCTGGTATGTATACGAGGACTTATCCAAAATTCATCAAGTGCATAGTGTATACTGGAAAATTGTGGCACTAAAAATAATGTGTAGCCTTGGCGGTAAGCTAGAATTTGTCCAGGAAATCAAATCTCCTGGAAATGTTTTCTTCGAAATTTTGGGCAGCAAGATACATAAATTACTGAAACTCTGCCCGGATAGGATTCGTCTCATTGAATTACTTGCAGGATATTGGGGAAATGTGGGCTGCATTCTTCTTGTCCATTTCTCCATTGGTAAGAATATTCTTCTTGTCAAAATTTTTTTTTTGTGACGTTGCTCTTTTAACCGGTAATTCTATTATGTTTTTATGGTAATCAAAAGAAATACTAGATGCCATTTAACACTGCTAGGCCCTAAAAGAAACACTAGAAGCAAAAATCTAGAAATTAGTTTCAATGGTTTTTGTTATTGCAACAATTACTTAACACTTGCCAAAAACCATATGAACTTTGTGCTAATTCTCCAAATTTTCTTGTGTAAACAGAATTCTACAAAAGTGTGCCCATATATCCTTGAGTCAGAGGGCTTGACGTTTATACCACTTAATGAATGAACCATTTTTCATGTGATATATATATATATATATATAATTTTTTTTTTTTTTTTTGCAGGAGGGAAAGTTTTGACTTCAATGCAAACTGTGGAAGCTGTAGACAAGAAGAACCAGTGGATCACTTACGATTTATCCGAGGAGAATCTTATGAAAATGTACATCACCTTGAAAATCACCCTCCAAGTTACTTCAAATGATGAAAAGAGTTTCTTGAAGTGGACGTGCTTATATGAGACGAGGGATACTGATGTTCCTGCTCCTGATGCATTGAAAGGCTTTGCTAGTGAAATTACCAGCTTAATTGATGCACATTGTCTAGAACTGAATTCAAAAAAAAAAAAAAAACCATGGGGTTCGAGTTTGATAACTTAATTACTCAATTAATTATCTAATGATAATGCGAGCTTGTGGCTCTTAGAAATTAAAAGTTTAGATGGATTCAACTCTGATTACCATCATAAATCAGGGTATAGCCATACCGTAGATTTCAATGTATGTTTGTTTGATCAAAGTGTAAGGAAGGTAGGCTTCAAGGACCAAATTATAATTTGGCCATCTATTGGATATGTTAGCTAGTTCCCTTTTGTTTTTTCGGGTAAAATTGATCTATTTAACTGTAAAAAACAAAAGTATAAAGATTTTATACTTTATTTACTTCATTACTCAAGCTATATGCCTTTCTATTCAACAAACTAAAAGAATAAAAACGAAAAATACTAAATTCGTAAATCTTCATTTTCAATATTCCTTTTCTTTTATCCATATCTTTGAGACCAGACGGGGCCTATCTTCTCGGGCAAGAATGTAGAAGAGGCCCATTAAGAAATGCATATTCCCAGTTTGTCCAGTAATCCAGACTGTATAAATGTCTAATTTGGCCGGGTTCAAAGGTGGTCCAGTTATATTTCATACTCCAAACAATTCAGAGAGAAACTAAGCCCATAATTAAATTTAGCTTGGGTCATTGGGTGGCCCATATCATAAACAGAATCGAACTTTTATTTTATCATTTTTTTAATAGGAGAATTGTAATGATTTAAGAAAAGTGAAGGGAGCAGTTTGATTGGAACCTAAATGCTATATTTGAGGGTGACCTGATGAAGATGCACAAAACCTTGAAAATCACTTTCCAAATTATTCCAAAACATGGAAAGAATTTCTTGAAGTGGACATACATATATGAGAAGATGAATGCTGATGTTCCACCTCCTGATGCATTGAAGGGCTTTGCTAGCGAAATTACCAGCATAGTTGATGCACGTTATCTGGAGATGAATAACAAAAGCCATGGGGTTCAAGCTTGAGAACTTAATTACTCACTTGATTATCTAAGCATAATGCTAATTTTGTGTTTTTAGTAATTATGATCTGGTCGACAAAGCCATATTATAGCTTTCAGCTTATGTTGTTTGATCAAATTGTAAAGAAGGCAGGCTTAATAGACCAAATTAGCCGTTTGTTGGATAGCTTAATGATTAAAATAATAGAGTATGATACGACTAAATTGTCTACATGTTCCAGATTTTCACTTTTATTATAAAATATATTATCAGTATTTCCAAGTCTTGCAAATTGGACTCATGAACTTGGGACAGCCGGTCAACATGTTACTAATGCCAATGGGAGATCATAGGTTTGACTCTTGTATGTAGCACTTTGAAAAATTTTGGACCATACCTTCACCTTCAAATAAGAATCGAATTTTATGGACGCTTTTTGAATCAAATTCGATTTAATTTTACTAAAGGTGAAAATATCGGGTGCTCAAAGAAAAAAAAAGTCTTGCAAACTCGACTCATGGTTGTGGCATATATATATATATATATATATATATTCCACTTTTACCAGCTTAAACTTAAGCTGTTGGGAATTTCAGGGAGTTAGATTAGATTGGATGACAAGGTGGAGATTTAAAAAAAAATAATAATAATAATAAAATAAGTGATCAAGCAAAAGCAAATCTTTCTGAAGAATATTTTGCTAGATCATGCCCAAAGACTTGTTAATATTTTATTGAACTAGCAGTGAGGAATTCTATCCTTTGACCATTATATTATACTTCTTTACCAGTTGAGATGGCTATAGTTTTCTCCAACATGATATGGTTAAAAATTAATGAAGCGTAAGTGACTTTAGATGGATTAGGAAGATCCAATCGAATGAATTAAAAACCTTCTCCAACAACTTATAATTGCAAAATGGTAGTATTAGTTGTATATGACAAACTAAGGAATCAAATTCTGCTTCATTGGGTTGATTCTTTTCCCTTTGGTCATCCTCTCATTGAGCCTTGTCGCACCAAGAAAGCTGCCCTGCCTAAAATAGTAAAATTTGCCTAGGTAAATTAAGTTCCACCATTAAGGAAATTGTGGAGATGTGGGCTACAAACTGTTTTTGTGCATTATTTAATAGGCAAGGACCAAGGAAGGTGAAATAAATCATGTACTGCCAAAGTGCTCCATCAAATATATACTTCTCTTGAATACAAAAAAACAGAGGAAATTTTTTTTTTTTTTTTTTTAAAAATCCAGTGGTTTCACAAAATTGTATTTTGCATGCTTAGAATTGGGGCAATTTTCGTACAGGTCCCTAAGATTTTAAAAAGTGGCTAGCTAGTAGCCACCAATGGTTTTAGTAAATGGCAAAGGGACGCCTACCAGCTAAATCTCCATTGTCACCTCTAGCCCATTGTTGAAAACTGATCAAACATGTTACTTGCTTTTTAAGTTTGTGTCCATTGCATTATCAGGTTTACTTTGTAGAATTTTTCGTTTGGAGATGAAGATATATGCAATAATTTTTCTCTTTTGGTGGATAACACAAATTAAATCTGGATATTAATTAGCTGACAAAAACCATATTCAATTTGATGTTAATTTGTAACACAAAAACTTCATAGTCATGGAACTAACATCTGTGATACATTGATTGTAATCATCCCCTCTGCTGACAATTTCTATAGCAAAAGCATCTGTGATGCCCTTTGCTTTGCTGTTCTAAAGAAAGTTGTGTAACGAAATCTTGTCATGATAAATCAGCTTATTTTGTTGGCGCAGGTCCTTTTCTTGGAAAAAGATAAACAGAGTGGAGAGTAAAATATACCAATTAGGAGTTGTGATGTCCTATTCTTGAAAAAGGAAATCAGAGTGGGAGACTAGAAAAAACACCAATTAGGAGGTTAGGTGATCAAACGTATTTTTGTTTTTTTGTTTTTAATCAAGGGATCAACCATTCAGATCATGACTGCCTCGTGGAAAAGCAACCAATCATAGATCTCAATCCCAAAATATGATTTTAAACTTTCTGCTCAGAAACAAAACAACTACATTTTACAAGTATATAAAGATCAAAGGGAACTTTATACTTCAAATTGTCCAGAGAAGAATGAGTCTTAGTGGCAAGCTAGTGTTCGAGCAGGAGATCTCATCTCCTGGAATACTTTTCTTCGAAATTTATGGCAGCAAGAAACAATAATATCTGCCAAGCATCTGCCCTGACAACTTCCTAGCATCGAATTACTTGAAGGAAATTGGGGAGAAGTAGGATGCAAACTTTTGGTAAATTACTTGATTGGTAAGGCCTGCATGGACTTCTTATATTAAAGAGTGTAGACCTTGTATAAATATGCAATGTTTTTTTTTTTTTGTTGATTTTTCATTCCTAATTTGGTTCATGTTGTAATCATGTGTATTAATTGCAGATGGCAAACTAATTCCTGTAAAGGAGACTATTGAAACTGTTGATGAAGATAACAGGTCAACGACTTACAGAATTCTTGAGGGTGATCTTCTGAAGGATTATAAGAGCTTGCTAATAACTTTCCAAGCAACTTCAAAAGGTGAGAAGAATTTTCTTAATTGGACATACGAGTATGAGAAGCAGAATTTAGATGTCCCTGCTCCTGATCACATGTTTGACTTTGCAAGTGAAGTTAGTAACATAATTGATGCTTACTTCCTCAAGAACCAAGATCATTTCCAAGCTTGATAAGCTTCTTGATCAGGAATTTCAATGTAAAACCAGTCAAGAATACATGCCATGTGTGTCTCAAATAAATTTCATTTTAGCATTTTTATGATCTATCATGTAAAAATTCGTTTGTCTCTTTTATGCACAAATCGTTGTGACACCAAGAAGGATGGATCAACATTTACCAATGGCTTATGATAAGAAGCATAACCTTAGCTACCACAACCGTCAAAAGCCACAAAAAGAGAAGGAAAATATGCATGAATTACCCTTGGCATGGCCAAGTTGAGTTTTCCATCTCAAATTGTCAATGTTTACAATAATTGGTATGGTTACTGAATGAGTGATCAAAAGTATATGAATGTTACAATAAAAGGGTTCGTACTGTACAAGTAGGTACAATTCACGGGTCTAATATTCTATATGTATACTATATACTATACATCTATGCTTCTATATGTATACTATCTACTATACATCTATGCTTGATTTTTCCACAAGGCTTTGCATATCATCAAACACTTCCGCTTCTGGCATACTTGTCAATCTGACTGATATCGAGAATTCTATCCATCCCACTTGCCAAAAGAAACCTGAAATTCCGAATCAAAGCATAGATAAATTGGCTGAATGAATCAAAATTTCAAGAGTACTAATATGAAGCCAAGAAATCAATAGTGTTAATGAAGTAATGGAAATTACTTGTCCCTGAGGTCTCTTGACATCAATTGGCAACCTCCTGGTACGTTGGATTGCAAATTCACAGCTATATTTGGATTGTGAATGCTCTGTCTAAGATGTACCCATCCAAGTTCTGCATTGTCCTTGTCAGAAACTTTGGCCCTGGAGTTTGAGCAAATTTGTATTTAGCAATAATGGGACTACAATTATGTAGAGTTTGTCAAGGTGTTAACATTTTATGATAAATAGATTAGGAGCAGCTTGAGCCATTCTCGCCAAAAGCAATGGTGGATCCATAACCTAAGGTTTAAAAGACAATGATGCAACCTAAAGATCTACCTGACCATTGAAAAAGTTTTATGTTTTTCAAATTAGGTGATCAATTCTTTTACATCATACGGATTTAAGGGAAGGGGGTGTAATTTTTATGCGGAAATTTGTTATAGAGGAAAAGGAGAGATTGATTAAGGAGCCCCAAAAACATAGGAGGCGGAGCATTAGTTTGAAAACTTTTGGCACCTGTACATGTGGGCATCAACAGCTGCTGGAGTGTCGTTGGTGTCCACAAGGCAGCCATCACTTACCCAACACTCTCCACAAGAGTCTAAATCCCAGCCTGGCAACTGACCTTCCTGCAAATAATTTACCATTCTTTTAGCATAAAGTATACTAAAGATTTGATCAGATATGGTTCTTGCTATTTTCCTTGTTCTTTTTTAGCACAAAGTAATAGATATGTACCTCAACGTAGTTTCTGAATGTTTCAATGGCCTCAATGGCTTTGGCTTTTGCAAACCTTGGCTCAGAAATGACATTCATCCTAAGCTCTGCTGATTCCAGGGGCCCTTCAAGATCTTTAATAAGACTACCTATTCCATCACCTGAGCCCTCAAGCTTCATTCTTACCATCTCAATGATGATCTTCACAACCATATAAGCACCTGCAAAGTTCAACCACATCGCTTGATTTAGTCAATGTAAAGTGCATATCAAGAATCCATGCCAAAATTTAAGATTCATGTTTATATATAGAACAAGGACAATAGTTGCATTACAGACATTGTGATTTTCAAAATAAAAAAGACAATGTAAACCCCAGTAATTTTAAGAAATCGGGAGAATGTTTATTTTAAATTTAGGGATAAAGTTAGAATCAGATTGACAGACTGAGTTACATGAGATATGTTAGAAAACTATTAATATATGTCTTTTAAGTTTGTAAGTTACAGTGTCTGCAATCTTGATATTTTCCGTAGAAGAAATAGACTAACCATCATCAAGGAAATGGTTTTCTTTGAGAGCACCATGGCCAGTAATTTCCATCATCAGATGAGTCTCCATCCCATCCTTATTAAGCTGAACTCCTTTATCAATCACATTTCTATATCCAACTCGATACAGGCAATGCTGACCTCCTCTGTCAGTGATGAATCTAGTCAGGGCCATGCTTGTACGTGCATCAGTCACAATTGTAGTTCCAGGATGCTCTTTCAGGACAATGGCAGACATCAGTGCTATGAGTTTGTCACCATTTATGGGGTTGCCAGAGCTGTCAACGACGCCGCTTCGATCAACATCGGTGTCGAAAACTATGCCAAGATCAGCTTTGTTTTCAAGAACTGCAGCCCTTGTTAAGGCCATGGCAGTTTTGTCCTCAGGGTTAGGAATGTGGTTAGGGAACATTCCATCTGGATTGAGGTGTAGAGAACCGAATGTGTCTGCTCCTAGCCTGTCTAAGACATCGTATGTAAAGAACCCTCCTGATCCATTTCCAGCATTCACAATTATCTGCATTAATTTCATCAGATTTCCTCCATATGCATCCCAAATAAGAAGAAAAATAAATAAAAAAGACTCTGTAATTTACCCAAAAAAACACCGTATAGAATAAGTAAATTGAAGGTACCCATATATCTTTCCTTCTTTCATTTTCTTTTTAAGAACAAATTTTCATTTTGTTTTAGAATGGGCCTTCCGTTTCATTGCTATTTCTGGCCAGCCTGTGTTGCAAGCGTATTGACTGTTGGGGTCCGGAAGAGCGTGGGCCGACACTTTGGTTGAAGTTATTTTATTTGGACAAAAGTATTAGGCTGAGCCCAAAGTTTAGTTATTATATCGTAGCAAGTTCTTTAATGAAAATATTGGTAGGCAGTAGTTCATTTTACTAAATCAGACAAACGCAAAATTACTTTTAAAAAAATTAATCAGATAAAATTCGTATATTTCAATCACATATTTTAGGTTAATATTCATCCTAACCACTGGGGTCGATCTAGTAGACAAGAAAGAGTTCTTGGAGTCTTCTTTACTGTCAGATTCAGGATTCAAATCTTATGTCTGACAGTTGAAAATAGGAAGGGTGTAGAAAGGGGTGAAAAGATAAATAAATAAATCAAACAAAGGTTAATATTCACCCTAACAACACAGACAATCATGCAATTTTTATGGCCAATGTTCACTTGCTAGTATAACAATTGATTCCAACATAGATGAGGTAGGTGGAACCACCATTGCACATGAATGAACAGAACAAGGGAAAAACAACTCGTGCAGGAGAATTTTTCAGTCACAAACTAAATAAAGATCGTGCTAAAATTTCCAACCTGAAATCCTTGGAGAGGAGTGTCATAATGCAAGGGATGATTAACTCTTTCCTTGATGATATCTCTGAGGTGTTTTGCATAAGTGCTCATGAAATCCACTCTTTTTGGTGGATTCCGTAGAGCAGTTGACACTTTTGCAAGTCTATTAGCATATTTCCGGGCGGCTCTGTAGCATATTTCCTCCACATCCAGCGATGTCAGGCCTCCTTTCTTGGTGAAAAGTTTCAGACCATTCCGGGTGTATGGCAAATGAGAAGCTGTCATCTGCATCATGTTATATTTCTCAATTCTTCCACGTATTAGCATACTAATACAGACTAAAAGAAACATCCAAAGCCTAGTAGTAGTATTTTCCCATTTTCTCTCATTTGCTTAAAGCCTTGAACTATTTTTAAAGACTATAGTTTCCCAGCGGGCTTTTAATTTTGCTTTTAACTTATTTCAGATGAAAGAAAAGTATTTGTGAAAATCAAGTGTCTTTTGAAGTTCGAATTTACAAAAGTTGAAGAGCAAGATTACCATCTGGTTTCTTGAAATCATGTTTCAGGAAATAATAGCCATAGCATCACTTAGAAAGCAAAAGGAAACAATATTTAGCTTTAAAAAGTTTTGTCTTCACAAACTTCTCCTACACGGTCTCAAAAGGCATTTTCTACAAATTTTATTATTTTCCTTAAAAGCTTCAAGACTTGATATCTATGTTTAACAATAGTTTTAGTGCAAAATCATTGAAGAAATCAGTCTATACCATTTTTATATGTATGCATAACAAGCTCAAAAACATGGAGCTGTTTTTCAATACCATTATGGAAGCATCATACATAAATGGAGGCAACAATGTACTCATGAAGCAAGCCGGTGTAGTTGCAAGCCCCATATCAAAAGCCAGACAACCAGCACGAGCAAGACCAGCAAAAACAGCAGCACTTAAGGATGCACCTGAAATTCTAGGGTCACGTCCAAGTGACACCCTAACATTTTCCACACTTCCATTTGTTTTCTCCTTCTCCAATCTCTCCACAACCCATTCACCAAAACTCTCTGCGATCGCCTCCACGGCGGGAGGCGTTAGGTCGACCGTCCTCCCCTTTTCGCCTTCTAGAGCCACCCCACGAACATCCGAGCCATTTTGCAGTCTTCTAATTTTATCCATTTCTTCATCCACCACAACTTCATTGTACTTTACAGTGCTGGAAGATTCGACGCGTGGTAAAGATTTTCTAGAGGGAAATGGGAATGAAATCTTGAAATTTGTATTGTGCAATATTGGTTTATTTATTGGAAGTGATGGAAAGTTTGTTTTGGAAATTAGACCTTGTAGGGATTGTGATTGTGTTGAAGCCATTGTTATTATTTGCTTCAAACTTGGCGCCCTTAGTTTATTTTCAAAGTGTGTAATGGTGATGATATTCGGACAAGGGTTGAAAGTTAGGAAGATAAGGTTTATTGGTGAATAAACCATAACCTTACAGTTTGCATATGTATCTCCTGCAAAGGATGAAATATCTGAGAACAAACTTCCAAATGCCCTGAGATTTTTTTTCTTGTTTTATCTATGCATATCTTCTTCAGCGATTGATACTTCTATCGAACAGAAAAATGGTATATTCCACGACACCTAATAATCCAATTGGGGTTCCAAAAACTGCAAAAGGCAAAAAAAAAAAAAAAAAAAGTGTTCTATCTTTGCATCTGAAGAATTAATATTACGTAAAACAACCAAAATATAGTGAT